TACCGATGCAGCCTAAGGGAGGACGTTCGTCGGGAACTGGCCTGCAGGGACACCAACCTTAACCTGGACCAACTGGTGGATATGTCAATCAGGCTGGATAACCTGTTGGCCACCCGCGGACGTCCGGATCAGGGGCCGTCCATTCCATCCCCCAGCACCTCCGACCCTACCCCTATGGAGCTCGGAGGTGCTGCTCTTAGGGAGACCGGTAGAGGGGCCGTCCCCTGCACCAACTGTGGCTGCAGAGGACACACTGCTGGTCGGTGCTGGGGAGGGTCTTTAAGGAGTCGAGGCAGTAGGCAGAGCACTGGTGGACCGTTTCAGGTGAGTAGGCACCCGACTCACCCAGAGCTCCCTGTTGCGCATATGTGTATAGATGTTGTATTTCCAGAGTTTTCCCCTCATTCCCAGCATAAGGCGCTAGTAGATTCAGGTGCAGCTGGGAACTTTATTGATCGTCAGTTTTCCCGTTGTTTAGGGATTCCCATTGTGCCTGTTGATGTGCCCTTCCCTGTACATGCCCTAGATAGTCGCCCTTTAGGGTCAGGTCTGATTGGGGAGGTCACAGCTCCACTCTGGATGAAGACGCAGGAGGGTCATGAGGAAAAAATCCTTCTCCTGCGTTTCCAGTGGTGTTGGGGCTTCCCTGGTTAACCTCTCATGACCCCACTATTTCATGGCAACAGAAGCCTCTCAAGGGATGGTCAAGTCAGTGCTCTGGGAGGTATGTAGGTGTTTCCGTAGGGGCAACTACAGTGGAAAGTCCAAACCAGGTTTCCACCATGCACATTCCACCTGAATATGCCGATTTGGCTCTCGCCTTCTGTAAAAAGAAGTCAACTCAATTACCACCTCTGGGCACTATGAGTACCTCGTCATGCCATACGGGTTGATGAATGCTCCATCAGTCTTCCAATCCTTTGTTGATGATATTTTCAGGGACCTGCACGGACAGGGTGTAGTGGTGTATATTGATGACATTCTCATATACTCCGCTACACGGGCCGAGCATGTGTCCCAAGTGCGTCAGGTGCTTGGTCGACTGTTGGAGCATGACCTGTATGTGAAGGCAGAGAAATGTCTGTTCTTCCAAGAGTCCATCTCCTTCCTAGGGCACCGCCTGTCCGCGTCAGGTGTGAAGATGGAGATTGACCGCATTTCGGCCGTGTGTAATTGGCCGACTCCAACCACGGTGAAGGAGGTGCAGCGATTCTTGGGTTTTGCCACCTACTACCGGAGGTTTATCCGGGGCTTTGGTCAGGTAGCAGCTCCCATTACCTCCTTGCTGAAGGGGGGACCGGTGCGACTGCAGTGGTCAGCTGAGGCGCACAGACCTGTTTACCTCGGCTCCAGTGCTGGCTCATTCGGATCCCTCCTTAGCATTCCAGGTTGAGGTGGACGCGTCCGAGGCTGGGATAGGAGCTGTACTGTCTCAGCGCTCGGGTACGCCACCAAAGCTCCGCCCCTGTGCTTTCTTTTCGAAGAAGCTCAGCCCGGCGGAGCGCAACTATGATGTGGGGGACCGGGAGCTGTTAGCTGTGGTTAAAGCTCTGAAAGTGTGGAGGCATTGGCTTGAGGGGGCTTAACACCCTTTTCTCATTTTGACTGACCACCGCAATCTGGAGTACATCCGGGTGGCGAGGAGATTGAACCCTTGCCAGGAAAGGTGGGCCATGTTCTTCACTAATTTTGTGTTTACTCTTTCTTACAGACCAGGTTCCCAGAACGCTAAGGCAGACGCCCTGTCCCGACTGTATGACACAGAGGAGAGGTCCATTGAGCCCACTCCCATACTTCTGGCGTCATGTCTGGTGGCACCGGTGGTGTGGGAGGTTGACGCGGACATCGAGCGGGCGTTACGTACCGAGCTCACTCCCCCCCAGTGTCCAGAGGGACGTATGTACGTGCCGCTCGAGGTTCGCGATGGATTGATCTATTGGGCTCACACGTCACCCTCCTCTGGTCATCCTGGCATCGGTCGGACAGTGCACTGTCTTAGTGGGAAGTACTGGTGGCCCACTTTAGCCAAGGACGTGAGGGTTTATGTTTCCTTCTGCTCGGTGTGCGCCCAGTGTAAGGCACCTAGACACCTGCCCAGAGGGAAATTACAACCCCTACCCGTTCCACAACGGCCGTGGTCCCACCTATCGGTGGATTTTGTTACGGATCTTCCCCCCTCACAAAGGAACACCACGATCCTGGTCATTGTGGATCGGTTTTCTATGTCCTGCCGTCTCATTCCTATGCCAGGTCTCCCTACGGCCCTACAAACTGCTGAGGCCCTATTTACACACGTCTTCCGGCACTACGGGGTACCTGAGGATATTGTATCGGATCAGGGTCCCCAGTTCACCTCAAGGGTCTGGAGTCTCGATCAGCCTGACCTCAGGTTTTCACCCCGAGAGTAATGGGCAGGTGGAGAGAGTTAACCAGGATGTGGGTAGGTTTCTGCGGTCGTATTGCCAGGACCGGCAGGGGGAGTGGTCGGGTTTTATCCCCTGGGCAGAGATGGCCCAAAACTCACTCCGCCACTCCTCCACTAACCTTTCTCCATTTCAGTGTGTGTTAGGTTATCAGCCGGTCCTGGCACCTTGGCATCAGAGCCAGATCGAGGCTCCTGCGGTTTCGGCGCTCGGAAGAGACCTGGAACACTGCCCATGTACGCCTGCAGCGGGCCATCAGGCGACAAAAGGCGAGCGCCGACCGCCACCGCAGTGAGGCCCCGGTGTATGCACCGGGGGACCGGGTCTGGCTCTCGACCCGAAACCTGCCCCTTCGCCTGCCCTGCCGGAAGCTGGGTCGGCGGTTTGTGGGGCCATTTAAAGTCCTGAGGAGATTGAACGAGGTTTGTTATAGGTTACAGCTTCCTCCTAATTACCGTATTAACCCCTCGTTCCATGTGTCTCTCCTCAGGCCGGTAGTAGCTGGTCCACTCCAGGAGTCTGAGGTACGGGAGGTTCCTCCGCACCCACTGGACATCGAGGGGGCACCGGCGTACTCGGTCCATTCCATCTTGAATTTGAGGCGTCGGGTGGGGGGCCTGCAGTATCTATTGGAGTGGGAGGGGTACGGTCCGGAGGAACGGTGCTGGGTCCCTAGGAGGGACATCCTCGATCCCTCCATGTTGAGGGATTTCCACCGTCGTCATCCGACTCGCCCTGGTCCGCGGCCTCCTGGCCGTCCCCGAGGCCGGGGTCGGCGCATGGCTGGTACCGCGCATCAAGGGCGGGGTACTGTCACGAATTCAGCCGAGGCTGCCCCTCCTCCTTGCTCGGGCAGGCTTCGCGTTTGTCGTCACCGGAGTACTAGCTGCTACCAATCCATGTTTCTATGTTCTACTTGTTTTGTCTGTATTGGTCTCACCTGTTTCCCATCATGTAATTATGTCTTCCCTATTTAACCCTCTGGCTCACACCGTGTGTTGTGCGTGTTTGTTCATGTTTTGGTTGTCGTATGTGAGCGGGTTTGTTCCTCCCTGCGTGGAGGTATGTTCATTAAGATACCTACGAGTAAAGTAAATGTTTCGATTAGCTCTGTGTCCTGCGCCTGACTTCGTCCTACCACATTACACTGACGCCGTGACAACAGGACTGATGGTTGCTGATACTGGGCCTCTGTATGCCTATGAAGATATTCCATAAAAAAATCAGCTGTTTCCAGCTACAATAGCCATTTACAACATTAACAATGTCTACACTGTATTTCTGATGTTATTTTAATGGACAAAAAAATTGCTTTTCTTTCGAAAACAAGGACATTTCTAAGTGACCAAACTTTTGAACGGTAGTGTATATATATCTATATATATATATCTGCCCCATGTGGAATTAGAACCAATAACATATATAGAACCAATAATGTATATAAACCCTGGATTGCTGATAATATGTATTGGCCATTGAGAGGCTTTGAAGCCACTGGTCGGCCAGTGCAGTCCTCCATAGGAATGAATGGAATTCTACAGTGTTTCAATTAAATGTTTCAAGGACAAAATTATATGTATTTAAGAATTTTTGTTGTAACATTAGTCCTCTCCCCAAAAAATACTTGAAGGAAAATGTTATATATTTTTTCATTGTTATGTTTAGTTCACATAATACAATTTAAAAGTATGCATTAAGGTGTCTGTAATAGAATAAGTGTGTCAAAAAGGAATGTAGACATTTCTATAGCTTCCAAAAATGTTTTACAATTGAGGAGTAGTACCAAGATGGCTGCATGGTGGCTTCAATACAGTCAGTCATCTAGGGTTTATACACATTGATTAGAACTCACAACCATTCAACTACAGTACGAGCCAACTGTTTTAGCAGACTGCGCCACCAATCAGTCAGTGGTTGGTAAAAAATACAACGAGTTGACCTGACCACCATTGTCATCTATTTCTTCTTACGATGTAGCTACAAATATAAATGTATAATCCTCATAGCCTACATGTTTTTTTGTAAAACACATAGATGTGTATGAAACGGTAAGCAAAAATGTTGCATTTTTGTCCATATGGGGAAATGTGCCTTAAAATATATTGGCACACTCCACTTACCAAGACCATTGCCAAATAAGGTGGGCTTTCACCTGCTTTTATAGTAAGACTTGAGGGTGTACCACCCAGCACATCTAGAAGGGAGGGTATTTCACATGGAACCCCTCCCTTGAGATGACGTAGAGGCACCTTCTCAAGGTACCTTTACATTACGATTTCAATGGTAGAGTTGAACTGCTAGGGGCAAAAAGAGCTAGATTTACTACTAAAAGACCAAAATATATCACTTTTGCAATGAAAGGTCAAAATGAAGACCAGAATAGACGTGTTTCACTATAACTGAGCCTAAAACATCTGGTTTTCGATTAATTGTTTTTTTCTTCATGAAAGTTACTCTTTAACACCGCAAAAATATGAGTCGTGGGCAAGATTTCTCTTCAAAACCGTTTTGAAACTAACATAGTGTAAAAAGGTTCTAAATGACTCAAAGTGTTGAAATGATGAGAGACATTCCTTACATGTCACCACTCTGGATAAGATCTGCAGTGTCTCCCATGAGCAGGTAGTTCTGTCCTTCTTTCAGATCTAGTGCCTCTCTACAGGAGGGGTGGGCCAGGAACAAGCGTTTTTCCCCGTCCAACACATGGTCAGTGCCTAAAGAGAAATTGAACATTAACATTGATCTCATTTCTAAATAACTTGGTTTTAAACTTTCTGGAAAAACAAAAACATTTGCATGTGTGTGCAAAACCATATTGTGTGTCTAGGAAATATTTAGGTCGCTCCATGAATAGATTGCCTTTTATGTACTTCAGACATTATGTGTGTAAATGTTGATAAAACACTCAATTTACCAGTTGGATCACAAACATCTATGCTCTAACTTAACAATGTAAAAAAATTGTTTTTATTCAAATAAGTGATTTGTTTTCTCTGAAAATCACCATTTTGGCATGTCCCACATCATGTTTGTCCAACTTCTAGGAAGATTTTAACCCACATCACCCCAAGATTTTCACATGTTTTCACCATAATTGTAAAGCCCTATTTATTTTGTTGCTTTGGGAAAGTCATTTCTGAAGATGTTTACTTATTTCATGTGATTAGTGATTCATTAACATTTGTCCCTCAGTTTTAAGGTCAACCCTGTAATGTGAACTGAAGTCTCGTTTTAACCTGGTAAAACTAATATTTTTTTCAAAAGAAACATTGAATGTCTAATAGTCAAATCAAAGTGTAAAAGCATGTGAGTTGGCCATTTTCTGGTGTTTAATGGTGGAAAACTGAGCACGTTGAACATAACAAGTCAACACTGTTACCCATCGATAGATAGGCGAGAAATATTTTAACAAGTAAAATATTTGTATTAAGCTTGATTTAAATTGCCCCTCCCTGTTGCACACAACAAGCTTCCATTTCCCCTGTCACAAGGGAAGTTATGGCTGATTCAAGATGAAATCGTGAACACTGTTACGATCAACCCTGTTACTTTTATAGTACTTTTTCTTAATTAAACCTTGAGATGGGGAAAGTTGAACAGAATGTGAAAATTAGGTGAAAAATTCAAAATATATATTTTTGACAAATTACACTACTCAATAGGCACTCTATTTGTGGAATGACACATTTGCGTTAAAGAGAGAGGAGCATTTAAAAATGTTGACAAAATATCAACTGTCACTGTTGATATTCATAGTCCTACTCTATATAATCCAGCAGTGAATGATTATCGTGTGGAAACTCATGACTAAACATTAAGGACTTATCCTACCTTCTTTGATAATCCTTTCTATTTTCATGCGGTATGTATCGATGTGGGACTCCAGTGTTGCATCAACCAAGGAGACTTTGAAAACTGTGAAAAATACAAAGTCAAATGAATAAGTAAACATATCATTTTGTTCACTTTAATAATACCTGAGTCATGTCCAGTAGGGAGAAAACACACATTTTCCATTGCAAAGCACTTTGCATCGCTGTGCCATACTACTGAACATAATTGTCTGTCTCAAAAGACTGGAGACTTACCATAATCCATAGCAGCTTCGCAGGCTTTGTCCAACAGTTTCACTTCACTCACATCTCCAAGTTTCTTCTGGTAGCTACAGCTCTCTATGAAAGAAAGGTAATGTGTGAGTATGAAAATGTCAAAGTAACCAGCCAATCTATATAGTGAGGACAGTATTACTTTGGCATACAGTATATTAACGTTAGGCTGAAATTCAGAACCTGTTTTGTACAAACATTCCACTCCTTGCACTCTGTGTCATTGTTTGGCATGACAAGGAGTGGCAAGGAGTGGAATGATGGGGACCCAGGCTACATTAACATATTATTGTACAGGCAAAGTGATAATTCCATGTGAAAATAGAACATGATATTTGAATGGATGATGGAGGGATTGTTGACAATGGTAAAAGGATCAGAGTAGGGTAAGCTCATCCTATAACTGCAACTACTTTTTGGCAGCAATTTGGCCACCGAGGCATGGTACCTTCAGCACAACGACACACATCATCTTGACAAAGCCTGTTTAGGGTTCCATCCTTCTTCATTGGGTGGTAGAACTTCACACAGCGGTTCTCTAAAATGACAAAAATCCCTATTCAAGACTATTTCTTCTGTGTGTTGGCATTTCTAGTGAATGCATTGTAGTCTGAGGTACATGTGAGTGTGTGTGCATATATCAGACCTGGGTTCAAATAGTATTTGTTTTCTTTCAAATACGTTGAGTGTTTGATTGAGCCTGCCTGGAATGCCAGATGGGCAGGGTTTATATTTTTGGGACTATTCCATTGGTTCCATTCCACCAGACATGCTGAATCAAGCACAGGTTAAGTATTTAAAAAAGAAATGTGAATTCTATTTAAACCAGGTCTGATTCATATCCCTTCTCAAATAAAGCATACCTTGAGCATAGTATTCATAAACGGTGACCCCAACAGGTTGAATCAGACCTACATCTTGTACCTTGTGTATTCTGAACGCCACCTTGTCTGCTAGTTTATTAGATACCTTAATGGATACCAGAGATATAGTGAAAGTTGAATAATAAAATGAACGTCATTGTATACATGTCACTGAGAAGAAGAAATCAATTTCAATACCAGTGTGGCATGCAGTCACAAACAGATACCTGGCCAAGATAGATGATGAGGGAGCCCCTCTCAGACAACGTTTTGTCCATTTCAAAATTCTGAATGTACCTTTCCCTCCCGGTTGACAACTGCAAGCAGAAACACAAGAGTGAACTTTGAACCATTAATGTTTATTGTGTATTATCCACAAAAAAATCTGAAATGAAGAAAAACTGTGTTCTTAGGCAATGCTGTGCTAAAAAGTGTTCATCCAGCCTGAGTGAATAAGACTATTGCCATAACTACACCAGAGCTGCATTAAGCAGTTGCAATGGTGGAAAAATTAGACACTTGAAAAAGAGACACACTTTTTATATTTTTTTAACCAAAAGCTAAGCTGTCTGATCAATTTCGTATTTATCTCCTTCAAGCTGTAGCTGTAGTTCTACCATCAATCCAATAGACGGCGCTGCTACTCTGTAGCGGTAGTAGGGATGGAAGAAGTTCTGGCCAGGCACGAGATTCTTCAGAATAAAGAATGCGCCAGAACTGCGAACACAGTAACTTTTGTGTCCGGTTATCGACTACTACAGGTACAGTGGGGGAAAAAAGTATTTAGTCAGCCACCAATTGTGCAAGTTCTCCCACTTAAAAAGATGAGAGATACACGTCAACTATGACAGACAAAATGAGAAAAAAAATCCAGAAAATCACATTGTAGGATTTTTAATGAATTTATTTGCAAATTATGGTGGAAAATAAGTATTTGGTCAATAACAAAAGTTTCTCAATACTTTGTTATATACCCTTTGTTGGCAATGACACAGGTCAAACGTTTTCTGTAAGTCTTCACAAGGTTTTCACACACTGTTGCTGGTATTTTGGCCCATTCCTCCATGCAGATCTCCTCTAGAGCAGTGATGTTTTGGGGCTGTCGCTGGGCAACACGGACTTTCAACTCCCTCCAAAGATTTTCTATGGGGTTGAGATCTGGAGACTGGCTAGGCCACTCCAGGACCTTGAAATGCTTCTTATGAAGCCACTCCTTCATTGCCCGGGTGGTGTGTTTGGGGTCATTGTCATGCTGAAAGACCCAGCCACGTTTCATCTTCAATGCCCTTGCTGATGGAAGGAGGTTTTCACTCAAAATCTCACGATACATGGCCCCATTCATTCTTTCCTTTACACGGATCAGTCGTCCTGGTCCCTTTGCAGAAAAACAGCCCCAAAGCATGATGTTTCCACCCCCATGCTTCACAGTAGGTATGGTGTTCTTTGGATGCAACTCAGCATTCTTTGTCCTCCAAACACGACGAGTTGAGTTTTTACCAAAAAGTTCTATTTTGGTTTGACCATATGACATTCTCCCAATCCTCTTCTGGATCATCCAAATGCACTCTAGCAAACTTCAGATGGGCCTGGACATGTACTGGCTTAAGCAGGGGGACACATCTGGCACTGCAGGATTTGAGTCCCTGGCGGCGTAGTGTGTTATTGATGGTAGGCTTTGTTACTTTGGTCCCAGCTCTCTGCAGGTCATTCACTAGGTCTCACCGTTCTTGTGATCATTTTGACCCCACGGGGTGAGATCTTGCGTGGAGCCCCAGATCGAGGGAGATTATCAGTGGTCTTGTATGTCTTCCATTTCCTAATAATTGCTCCCACAGTTGATTTCTTCAAACCAAGCTGCTTACCTATTGCAGATTCAGTCTTCCCAGCCTGGTGCAGGTCTACAATTTTGTTTCTGGTGTCCTTTGACAGCTCTTTGGTCTTGGCCATAGTGGAGTTTGGAGTGTGACTGTTTGAGGTTGTGGACAGGTGTCTTTTATACTGATAACAAGTTCAAACAGGTGCCATTAATACAGGTAACGAGTGGAGGACAGAGGAGCCTCTTAAAGAAGAAGTTACAGGTCTGTGAGAGCCAGAAATCTTGCTTGTTTTTAGGTGACCAAATACTTATTTTCCACCATAATTTGCAAATAAATTCATTAAAAATCCTACAATGTGATTTTCTGGATTTTTTTTTCTCATTTTGTCTGTCATAGTTGACGTGTACCTATGATGAAAATTACAGGCCTCTCTCATCTTTTTAAGTGGGAGCACTTGCACAATTGGTGGCTGACTAAATACTTTTTTCCCCACTGTATGTAAAAGCATGTATATAAAAACAATATGTTATACTATCCTCAGTAACAATTCCGTCAAAGGTGTAATTACGTGTAAGGACCAGTGCACTCAAAATTCTGTTTTTCCTGTGTTTTGTATTCTATTGTACAACAGCTGATGAAACTAACACTGTAAAAGTGTGAAACAAATTGATCTGTGTTATAGCTGATAGTTGCTGGTTGAAAATAAAATGTAATCAAGAGGTTTTGCATGGGTGGAGTTTTGGCTTGCCTGGTGACATCACCAGGCGGAATAAGTTAATAGACCAATAATAAAGAGTGTTCCAAACCTCTTGGCCAATAATAACAGCTAGTTTTCAGGCTACATATCCCTCCTATTAGGCCACTCCAATTAGGCCCCTCACTCAGACCACTCCCAGACAGTCCTAGCAAAATTCTTGCTTGGGAAATAATTTTTTGCTCAAATGCAAAAACATTATTTATTTTTTTGGACCATTTTAATGTAAAACTATAAGAGTAAGGTACTTAACTGCTACAAAGGGACTTTAGTGCAGACGGTATGGTTGCAGAAGACTATAGACACAATTTAATTGTTTATATAATCTGGTGACGCTGTATGTAATGTTTAACAGTTTTATGCATTTTGGCCATATTCTGCCACACTCAGTTGTTTCTATCTGTATCAGAGGATGCTGGTGGGAGGAGCTATAGGAGGACGGGCTCATTGGCTGGAATGGAATTAGAACAGAGTCAAACGTAGTTTCCATATGTTTGATGTGTTTGACTCCGTTCCATATATTCCATTCCAGCCATTACAAAGAGCCCATCCTCCTATAGTTCCTCCCACCAGCCTCCTCTCATCTGTATGTGTAGCTACATGTTTATAATATGTGAAATGGAAATACGTAGGACCATACTTGCGAACATTCAAAAAAGTTTCAGTTTAAGGTTGAGTTTAAGCATCAGCCAATTAAAATCGTTGATGTAGTGTCACGTGAGAGAACCCTACATTGTAGCTGGTCCCATCAGATAACCTGGCGCACATTAGCCCTATGCTAACCTCACCAGGTGAGCTAATTGTCCAGTTAAAAATTGGTGAGCGTTTTAGTACTGATTAGAAAATGGTGCTGTTTGACTGCTGTTAAGGAAAAGTGTTCTATATGTCCAACTATGTCAACGATGTTAATTGGCTAATATGGAATTTGAACCGGATATAATCATGGCCATATAGTGAGGTTAGCATAGGGCTAAATATGCCAGGTTATGTCATGGGAACAGCTAACATGTAGCCTTTGATCACGTGCAACTACGTCAACGATTTTAATTGGTTGATGCTTAATCTGAAACGAACACTTTTTTTTTATGTTCGCAAGTATGGACCCAATTGATTTTACAGGGAAATATTACAGTTAGGCTAATGAAAGACTACTAAGGATAAGAGTACATACAGATCTGCTATCTTAATTTGACCATGTTTCTCACAGCAGGAAGATAATCCTGTAGCAACAGGAAATGTGAATCAATTACATTTTTGTAGGGGTTGATAAATTTTTCGTTAGGGCAAATCAAGTCTGATTTGTGGAAACTTTAGAAGCCTTTTTAAACCTCAAATACAGTACAATTTGCATTTCTCTGCGACAACGGAGTGATCAAATTAAGATAGAATATCTGCAAGCTGTTTTGCTAGGTATGTATCACAGAAATTGTTCAGCCAAAAGGAGCACTGTGATCCCTCTCTGATATCCAATGAATCCAGGCATTCTGGAGAAACCTGCTGGAATGCCTGGAGTCGAGGCTATCTGCAAGAAGCACAGTCAATACTACTGACCCAGTACATGCCAATGCGTTTTCTGGATCCAGGCCTGGGCAACAGTACTTCTAGGTCTCAGAAAGGCAGTAGCAAAGCACCACAAGCCATCTGCTATATCAACATTGATCACTCACCTGTTTCAGATCCTCAAAGTCAACTACAAAGCCAGTCAGCAAGCCAATGTCTAAAATGGTCATGGTGGCATGTCTGTCAGAGTTAAACCTTAGGAGAGAATGGGCAAGACTTGATTTTTGCTGATTTCATTTTTGCATGTATTTCCTATTCCTCACTAGATAAGAATCAAATATAACAATTTTGTCCTATGGCAAAGTTTGACAGTGATTAAAGTATAGCCTGAATAATCAGGTTTTCTTTTACTTACAACACGTCAATGTAGAGTTTATATGTCTCTGTAGCTTCTTTGAGTGAAACTTAAAAAACAAGAGATGTCATTTTGAAGGTAGATTTAGCAATATGACATCATCATACACAGTGGGGCAACTAAAGTCTTGCAGATATCAAGAACCACAAAACTTAAATCTGCCTCTATTAGCTCTTCCCCATTTCAATGATATAAAACTAAACAAACAAAACTTCAATTATCACTGTTGAGTGGAAACAAGTTCAAATACAATAGCCATGACAAGTAGCCTACCTGTAGCCTGCTTTATTAGTTCCACATTAAGCACAAACTTTTTGCAGTCTTGGTTCTTCTCCTTGGGCATGGCATAGTATAAGGTTGTAACCTTGACACGGATAGGCAAGGAGAGGGTTGGTGTTACTTGGTTAGCCTTGGGTACTCATTTTCTTTTCATGTTATCAAATATTGTCTTCACACTAATTAGGCTAATTTAAATCCAGTGCATTGTGTGTGCACAATTGTGTGGAAAGAAAACAGGGTATCAATTTGTAAGTCGCTCTGGATAAGAGCGTCTGCTAAATGATGTAAATGTAAATGTGTCGTTGACTTGAGCAACAAATGTTGCATCATTGCCCATTTGTCGGCAGACTAAATGGCAGTTTCTCTCCTGGAATTAAGGCATTGTAAGGAAAAGTGGCATGCTTCTTACCAATAATTCCCCCTGTCCAGTTCCTTTGGCTGTTACTGTGAAGTTCTCATGCAGCTGGACCTATACAGAATAGAAACGTTAATTTAAGACCTGCCTAACAGACAACATAGCCTACATCCCTACCCAAACTTTCATAGTCCTTCTTCTGTCTCACTGTGATCAACTATTCTCTAATTTTACTTCCTCTAACAAACATTTCTCCTTTCCCCTCTGTGCCCTATTTGTAAGTCGCTCTGGATAAGAGCGTCTGCTAAATGACGTAAATGTAAACGTAAATGTGATGCAGGTTGCCTTGTTCCTTTCCTCAGGGAACCATGTTCACACCCACAACATTTTGACTGAGAGGGGGGATTCAGGTGACCCAATAGTTTGGCTAAGTTGTGTTGTTCTGCCCTCATGGACAATAGGTCTGCACTTCTCACGTTTTACAAATGGGCTTATGTGTACATAGGTCCTTACCTTGTTTGTGCGTGTGAGTAAGGCGTTACCCTTGTTAAATGACCAACTTGATGACTTGAGTTCTCCCTGAGATATCAATATCCACATTCAGATTCATGTCTTTTACTTTTCCTGCTTTCGTCATGTATTCTGCCACAGCCTGGAACACCGTGATAGTGGCCTATTTTGGAAGAAACAGAAGCAGGGGGTAAGAAAGTGTACAAGTGTCATTATATGCTGCTCTTGAGTTTTGAGTATTGTATTTTCTGTATCCTAAATGCAGCTTTCTCCAACACACAGCATATTTCCAATATTGTGTTACAATGTTGCATGACCTCAAAGCAGCCTGTTTCAAATGATATGATATTGACATTAGCCCTACTTAGCCAAGGTTAGTTAGCCACAGGCTAAGGGCTTGCCCTTGTTGGATGTTTGATGTTACTTGTTACATGGGTCTGGCTGTACCTGAGTGGATGAATATTTTCCACCTTGAAACCCTTGGCTTTTGAGCCATCTGACGACGGGACCAGCCTCCTCAAAGGCATCAACCTTCACCAGGGCCAACAGGGCATAAGCTGTGGCCTCCAATGTGAGAAGGTCATTGTCTGAAACAGGCCAGTGGGTCCGGTCTGTGGGCGAAACACACAAACATTCACTGTAAAAAATATGTCATTTTAATGGACAATCTTCTGCATTTTCCCAACAGAAATGTTTTGTATAACCGCTTTACAGATCATTTACGTATTTACCCAAACACGTGTTGCCTGTTGGGTATTAGGCAGCATCACTACAGAGACATCTGCCATGTGCCAACCTTTGTTTCCGGAAAAGTTTCACCTTGAAAATGGAACACCTCTGTGGTAAATCATTTATGGGTATACATTTTATGAAAGCTACTTGACATATCGTTAATTATATTTTAGCAGACCGTTTAGACTCCATCATCGTTGATGGCAGATTAGCTGCCTGATTATGTGCTGTAGCTAGCTAACATTAGTTCAATTCAAGGTTGTGCTTTGAAATGAAAATGTGGAACACATCTAGCTAAACTTTTTTTTATGATAGCTGCTGGAAAGTAATTGTGTTATTGCCTGGACAGTTAGCTGCTGTGTATGTGGCTAACGTTAGCTAGCTAACTAGCTAACTTTAATTCATTCAGTTTTGGCGCCTTCTTGAAATTCTCAAAGTTGAGCACCTCCATCATAAACAATTTCAATGGTCTAGCTGTATAAGTTAGCTATACGATAGATCTGCTGGATATCATATGTTTGTTGCTGCTGGTGTGTTAGCTAAGTTAACTACTAACATTACAATAATGTTAATGTTGGTAACGTTAGCTAGCTGGCTACAGCCAGGGTCGGATGGTAAATGCTGTCACTTGGCACTGAATTAACGTTGGACTAGCTACTTTAGGCAATGTAGCTTAACGTTCTGGTCTGGGTTTCTCAAAAGCATCATAGCATTAAGTTCATCTTAATTCCATTCAATCTAAATGGACAAAATATTATTTTAGTACTACTAACGTTATGCTTTTGGGAAACCCAGCCCTGGCTATAATGCATCTCAAAGCCCCGCGTAGTAATGAGTGAATGAACAAACTCCCGTATGAGAACATTTTGCATTGCTAGCTATCTAACATGGAGAAAGGATGCTGTCCTGCCAGCTAAATTAGTATACTGAACAAACATTTAAACGCATACATTTCAAAGATTTTTACTGATTTACAGTTCATATGAGGAAATCAGTCAATTGAAATAAATAAATTAGGCCCTAACCAATGGATTTCTCATGACTGGGGATACAGATATGCATCTGTTGGCCACAGATACCTTAAAGAAAATGGGCCTCAGGATCTCTTCACGGTATTTCTGTGCATTCAAATTGCCATCGATAAAATGCAATTCTGTTCTTTGCCCATAGTTTATGCCTGCCCATACCATAACCCCACTGCCATTATGGAGCACTCTGTTCACAACGTTGACATCAGCAAACTGCTCGCCCACACGCCCATTGGAGGCAGTTTATGGTAGAGAAATTAACATTCAAATATCTGGCAACCACTCTGGTGGACATTCCTGCAGTCAGCATGCCAATTGCACACTGTGGAATTGTGTTGTTTGACAAAAGTGCACATTTTAGAGTTGCCTTTTATTGTCCCCAGCACAAGGGGCACCTGTGTAATGATCATGCTGTTTAATCAGCTTCTTGAAATGCCACACCTGTCAGGTGGATGGATTATCTTGGCAAAGGAGAAATTCTCACTAACAAGAGTCTAAACAAAATTGTGCACAAAATTTGAGAGAAACAAGCTTTTGGTGTGTATGGAAAATGTCTGGGATATTTTCTTTCAGCTCATACAACATGGGACCAACACTTTACATGTGGCGTTTATATTTTTGTTCACTGTAGTTTGTTAGCTCACTCACTCATTCAGATGAACTTGGCTAATGTCAGCTAGCTAGCTATTTAGGTATCTTAACTGGGTAGCTAGCTAGCTAGCTCACGTCAGTTCAGATAGTAGGACCCAGGATTGCCAAGGTAATGAAAGGCTCTTTTTTTGTCTCCTTCATCCTGCTTTCAGACGCAATTATGCTGACTTGTGGTATTTGTGAGTTTAAAAGTGTCTCAGTTACCGCACATGTGAAGCACTGCAGGTCACACAGACATAGCTAGCAATGTCAGTTTTCCATGTGGTTATTCAGATTTTGAAAGGGTTTTCTTCATTCAATTCCTACACTGTTCATGTCTAGAGTTCACCCTGACAGAAGGGCACAGCAAAATTTTAACCAAAATGTGTGTACAGTTGAAATGTTCTTCAGCAGAGAATTTGTATATTTGAAAGGGCTTGTACCTCACTTGAGTGCCCACATACAAGAAGGTCTGAACATAACCTGTCCCTTTGAAGGGTTTTCAAAGACTTTCATTGTAAAGTCATCCTTCTGCTTCCATGTCTCCAGATATCACAAACAGTGGGATGCCACTCAAATAGCACCTGTTCACCTATGTGACTAGAACTGCAATGCTGCTGAGTTTTTCACGCTCAACAGTTTCCTGTGTGTATTAAGAATGGTCCACCACCCAAAGGACATCCAGACAATTTGACACAAATGTGGGAAGTGTTCGAGTCAAAATGGGCCAGCATCCCTGTGGAACGCTTTCGACACCTTGTAGAGTCCGGGGTACACTCAATTGTTCGGTACACTCAATGCATACAGTATATAATGTATTTCAAACGATATGTTGTGACCTTTATATAGATAACAGATTGACTACTGTCATCGTCAGTTTTGTATTGTGCAGATTATAAATAGCAATCCTGGTATGAATTCTACATATTAAAGCCTTTTTCAAATGGAAGAATTTGAATTATCTTATCATGCGCTCAAAGGTTAGTTAATCAATAAACTTAACTATTTCTGTTATGTCTACCATTGCTCATGATTTGTTTTTGGTGATGTGTTCTATCCATAGGACCAAAGGCTGCCCCCAAGCCCTCTCAACCAGTTTTGTCAGAGCCTCCAACATTGAGAGCAGGTCCCAGTTACCTATCCAGTGAGGTGTTCACAATTCCTTGGCACAAACTACCCTCTAACCTCACTCTTGCAATGGAAGAAAAAAAGAGACCAAGCAAATCACTAAGAAGAGAGATGGTTTGCATTGTCACTGTTGATCTACTGAGCAAAGAGACCAGGCCCGGAAGAGGAAAGCTGTGGCGAGTTGCTAAAGAGATCGTAGAGAAATATCCCTGCTCTTTCCAAGACAGAAGTGGAAAGAATGCCATTGGAACGGGATACGATTCACTCCTTGTACAAATGGAAAACTGAATCGAAAACTCAGAGGGTGAAGATGGTGAAGATGGGGGGGGGGGGGGGGGGGGGGGGGGGGGGGGGGGGGGGGGGAGATGGTGGGACAAGGAAGACAAAATGTTCAGATCAATATGGATGATGGCAGCCTGACTCTCACGGAAGAACTGAATGAAAAGAAAACGGAGCTGAAGAATGCGTAAGAAAACATTTGCATCCAGCGCATTACAATTAACATGGAAAGCAATGTGAACACAGTAATGGGGAACTGGCCCTACCTATTTGAGGCGGCCCATCTCTTCGATCACACAAACACCCTCCTTGGCATAGCTTTGCAAACAAAGCTGGCTGAGGAAATCTCAAGAAAAGGAAAGAGCATCAAGGACTTCCTTGAAACAAAAGGGATGGTGACAGAGCTATGCGAAGACCCAGTAAAACGGATATCCTGCATTGCAGAATACTTAAAGGAAAGTCCAGAGGAACTTTTTCTTCAAAATGAGGTACTGTAAGTGGGGTTTTATCTTTGTCCACATAATTGCTCCCATTGATCACGTTTTTTTTTTATACTAGTTGTATTTTCTTGGTCTGTTGCCTTTTATTTACTTCCACAGAACGAACATAATATCCCAAGCACCCCCTGCATCATCATCATCATGGGTTCGTAGTCCGAGTTGTTTTCGTTTTCTTTTCCCAACTATTTAAAGTAGAACACTGACCATAGTTTACTTTTCACTCTCATTCACCCCCATTTATTCCTATTCACGCCCCTCACTGGTACAGGTTGAGGTCGCCAACTACAGTGCCCTCCGTAATTATTGGGACAGTGAAGCATTTTCTGTTCATTTTTTGAAAGTATGCGATGGTTAAAGTGCAGACTGTCAAATTTAATTTGAGTGTATTTTCATCCATATCGGGTGACCCGTTAAGAAATTACAGCACTTTTCTTTACATAGTCCCCCTCATTTTAGGGGACCAAAATTATTGGGACAAATTCACTTGTGTATTAAAGTGCTAAAAAGTTACAGTTGAAGACAATTCCTGACATTTAATCCTAGTAAAAATTCCCTGTCTTAGGTCAGTTAGGATCACCACTTTATTTTAATGTTAGAATAATAGTAGAGAGAATGATTTATTTCAGCTTTAATTTCTTTCATCACATTCCCAGTGGGTCAGATGTTTACATACACTCAATTAGTATTTGGTAGCAATGCCTTTAAATTGTTTAACTTGGGTCAAACGTTTTGGGTAGCCTTCCACAAGCTTCCCACAATAAGTTGGGTGAATTTTGGCCCATTCCTCCTGACAGAGCTGGTGTAACTGAGTCAGGTTTGTAGGCCTCCTTGCCCCCACACGCTTTTTCAGTTCTGCCCACAAATGTTCTATAGGATTGAGGTCAGTGTTTTGTGATGGCCACTCCAATACCATGACTTTGTTATACTTAAGCCATTTTGCCACAACTTTGGAAGTATGCTTGGGGTCATTGTCCATTTGGAAGACCCATTTGCGACCAAGCTTTAACTTCCTGACTGATGTCTTGATGTTGCTTCAATATATCCACTTCATTTTCCTTCCTTATGATGCAATCTATTTTGTGAAGCAATGCACCACCACAGCATGATGCTGCCACCCCCGTGCTTCACGGTTGAGATGGTGTTCTTCGGCTTGCAAGCTTTCCCCTTTTTCCTCCAAACATAACGATCGTCATTATGGCCAAACAGTTCTATTTTTGTTTCATCAGACCAGAGGACATTTCTCCAAAAAGTACGATCTTTGTCCCCATGTGCAGTTGCAAACCGTAGTCTGGCTTTTTTATGGCGGTTTTGC